AAGGTACTTGCAACGACTTGGTGGTCACCCTAATGCGCTAGCCAGACGTCTAATTAACCCGCAAAGGAAAAGAAGACTCAAAAGGTGTCATCCACTGGATCTCCCTACTAGATCCCTCCTATAATATCTCAATAACTTTTTGTAAATATTGTAAATAATGTATGTACCTACTCCATATATGTAACATTAAGTTTATGTATGTATCTCCTCTGATATATTGTTTTTCCCCTTAAATGTAAAACTAGATTAAGTTGCCACGAAAGGTAGCAGTAAATTTGTTTACAATAAAATACAAATTTTCCACATGAAAAAAAAAAGAAGTGATTGGCAAAGTTATAAAATATACATATATGCTGTTGCATTTCGTTGAGATAGTTCTTAAACTCAAATAGTAGTTTAATATGCAGAAACATAGCTATCAGATCATCTTTCAGCTCAACCGAAGATGTACGCACCTGCCAGCCTGAAAATAGCTCTCAGATCAGCTCGGCTTTCAGCTCCGATTTCAGCTACAGTGTGCGCGAGCCCTTACATATTACATAAAAAGGACTATTGTTTGCTGTCGCACTTCCCGACTCACGAATTCCTTTTAACTTAAACTACCTCAACTAGCTTTATTTTTGCAGCTTTCCAATTTGCCGTACTGCACCGATCTCATTTTCTCTTCAATTTCGTCTCTCTGATCTTATGACATGGGCAAGCCTCGCAGACCGAAAACGCTATGCCATCGGGATATGCTCGGAAATATTCATCAATTGACAAGCTCTTCATTTAAGAGCGCATGCTAGCGCAAAGAGTAGTTACCAGCTACTGCTCCGCATAAGTAGTGATATTTAGCATGTATTTAATAGAATGGATTGTCACACAAATTTAGAATGTACAGTTGCGGTTCAAATACCAAATTAAATTGCTTCTATGGGTTTTGAATATTGTTATAAAAGATAGGCTCCGTTTTTTACTTTCACAAAAGTTTTCCGATTTATTTTTGAAATCACAAAAGTTGGGGCTTCCGCATTCACATTCCGCAATATTTCTTCGTCTTTTTTGTTGACGAAATGAAAAGAAAACGGCTTTTTATACAACAAACCGAACATTAATTGCAAAAGGAAAAAAATTGATGACTTATTGATGCATTAACATAAACTTGACACCTATATCAGGGTATTTGGATTATAAGATGTGTTTTAACACCCATATAGCTGCAACTGTAAATAAAGCTAAGGGTGTTTTAGCGTTCATCAAGCGTTGGTCCAAGGAGTTTGACGACCCGTACGTTACGAAACAACTGTACATCTCGTTAGTACGTCCTATATTGGAGTATTGTTCTTGTGTGTGGAGCCCGCAGAATAAAGAGCAGCAGGCTGTTATTGAATCCGTGCAAAAGCAATTTTTAATTTTTGCCCTTCGGAACTTTAACTGGGACTCGGGTAGAATCTTGCCACCCTACCGGTCTAGGCTAAATCTTATTGACCTGCCGTCGTTGCACCATCGCAGAATATGCAATGGCGTAATGTTCGTGCACAAGCTCCTTCTCGGGACTGTTGACTACCAAACTCTCTTGGGTCAGATTGACTTGGCCGTTCCATCTAGACCTACCCGTACTTTTAGGCCTATCCGTCTACCCATATGTAGGTCTAATTATGCTGATCATGAACCTTTTAGGGTTTTATGCCATAATTATAACTCCGTCTGTCAAACCCTATCCCCTGAACTGTCTCAAACTAATTGCATGCAATATTTATAATCACTTAAATTTAGCTAACTTTTAACTTATCTTTTTCCGCCTTTAGTAACTAAGTACCATTATTAACAGATAATTTGTTAATTTAATAAATAAATAAATAAATTTTAACTTGTGCTTTCTTCATAAATAATTTCATTTTAAACCAATCTCAAATTTGGCTCGGAAAAAAAATTTGTTTTGCTGAAATGCTGAATCTTGTTATTGAGAACAAATAAAAATACAAGTTTTTATTACCACTATGCACTGCTATTATTTTGACAGCAGCTGTACATATGTACATCGCAACAGTCTGGTGCCATGATGCAATTATGTCATGCATTACATGGTGCATCATACATTTGCGGGTAGCATTTGAGTCATGTGCAGAAGCTACATCCGGTACAAACGTTGCACTCCTTGGAAAATTTAAAGATTCCTGGAGAACTATTGAACAAATCAAGTTTAAGTTTGGTTTTACTAATCAGTACGTTGCAAGACATTTAAATGACAGAAGAAATGCAATAATTAACTTCTGTCAAGTTTAATTGAGAAAACTCATGCGCGTACTGATTACGCTGAATTGTTAGAGTTAACTCACTTTTTATACCCGATACTCAAAATGAGTATTGGGGTATATTAGATTTGTGGTGAAAATTGATGTGCGTAACGTCCAGAAGGAATCGTTTCCGATCCCATAAAGTATATATATTCTTGATCAGCATCAATAGCCGAGTCGATTGAGCCCTGTCTGTCTGTCCGTCCCTATCAGTGCCTAGTGCTCAAAGACTATAAGAACTAGAGCAACGACATTTTATATTCGGACTTCTGTGATATTTCACTGTTAAAAGAATGTTTCAAAACTTTGCCCCGAACACTTCCGCCCTCACAACGAGCGAAAATCTGTGCCATCCACAATTTCAAAGATTCGAGAAAACTGAAACGCAGAATCGTAGAGGATGACTATATCTTCTAGAGTGCATCTGAACTAGATCGTATAATTATTATAGCCAGAATCAAGAAAACAATTTTATTCTTTCTCGCTCTGTCTCTCTCTAGCACACAGGTTTCATGGTCGGTTTTGCCAATTGCAACATGTGACTTCAAGGATATCAGAACTAATAAGAGCTAGAGCAACCAAATTTTTGATCCACATACCTGTGATATCGGACCTTGACCGTTTTGTGTCAAAATTTCGCCACACCCCCTTCCGCCCCCGCAAAGGACGAAAATCTGGGGCATCCACAAATCTCAGAGACTATTAAGGCTAGAGTAACCAAATTTTTAATCCACACTCCTGTTTGATCTCATTATAAAACGTATATCTCAAATTTTGGCCCCACACCTTTTCGTCATACACAATATTGAAGATTCGAGAAAACTAATAACGCACCATCATAGAGAATGATCATATCTATCAGATTGCTGAATATGAATCAGATCGAATCATTTTTATAGCCAAAACGAACAAATCTATTTGCAGTGGCTACGCAGCGCCCGATGTCACGCTCGACATCGAGACACGATTTTGTGTCTCTCTCGCACGCACTCTTTGTCGTGTCGTTTAATATTAGCGGCGTCTGCCGGAGAAGAGCCATACTGACGAAGTATCGGGTATAAATGTAGAGTTGCGGTCTTCGCAGCAACTCACAACCTTCCCCCTCGTTTGTTTTTGGATCGGTTCCCAAAGGTCATTGTTTCCGACTACCTGGACCAATGAACCATGCACGATGGATGCCTATTTTCGAGAGCAGTTAAAGTTGACAATTCGAAAAGAGTTGTCGATTCTTTTATTATAGTGCGTTCTTATATAAATTATTTGGTTCGGCCAACATTAGCTGTTGAAGCTCCAAATCTGGACTTTCAATTTATATGCGAAATGTACAACTATAAAGAATTTTATCCGAAAATTGCAAACGTCGTTTTAAAAAAGACTTGCAGCCATTTGTTTTATTTATCTGATGAAAATAGCGCACTTGCATTGCTTGACGATAAAGTTACTTTCATGGAGAAACGAGAAATGGCAAAGCAACTCTTGACACTTCGGGTTGACCATGATGATGTTGAAACTTCTACAAAACGCCAAATTTTTAAAGAAAATGATTATCCAACGTTTATTACACGGAGACTATCTGATTTTGTGACACTTAATTCTTCAGAATGGCATAGTAATGAAGATTTTCATTAATTCTTTAAATATATTAAAATCACTTTTAAAAAGTGGCTAATGATACAACCGAACATGCTGTTTTACGGGATGGATTATATTATAATATTCTAGAGTTCTAGAATATTCTAATATTCGATTCTATCACAAAAAAATCAATCCCATCAGAGCGATATATAGTATAGCTGCCATAGGAAGAATTGGCCAAATATCGTATTTTTGAACTTTGACCTCAAATCGGAACCTCTAAACGTTATCGAATTTGGCTGAAACTTTTTATTTTATTGTTTTATAACAAAAGGAACATTTTTTAGACCCTGAAATTTTAAAAAATAAAACTTTTATAAATAAGCGCAACCTTAATTTACATACATACATATGTGGCCATTTCAATACTTCTTTTGATCATAAGAAAATTACGAATAAGCCGAATATATGTACACAGGTGAAAAAGTTCAAGGATAACACTAAATTGATATTTTTTTATTGATCGGGCCGGGCCTCTTTTACTTAATTTTTGTTGATATTTATAATTGTTGTATATATTTTTTATACGATTTGTTTGTCTGCATACAATTAACACACATTAAATTGAACACTACAAAACAAGTTTAACAAAACTTAAGGAGATTTTTTTGTAGATGCTTTAGATCTAAAATTTGCCAGAGCAAGACCGCGCAAGGTAATTTGTGAATTAAAACGTATTTTTTTTTACAATAAATACGACACAAAGCTAGATGTACGAGTATAATATTGTACGTAGGGACAGTGATAAAAAAAAGTGTGCTATAAACTAGCACTCGAAATCTCTTTTTAGGCACTATCAAATTTATACATATTCCAATTGTTAATAATGAACATTTACATTAATAGTGATAAAAAAAAGTGTGCTATAAACTAGCACTCGAAATCTCTTTTTAGGCACTATCAAATTTATAGACATATTCCAATTGTTAATAATGAACATTTACATTAATAGAAAAAAAAAAGCCAACCACAGGAGCACTGATGTGATTAACTTATTAGGCACATTATATAAGAATGTCGCTTGGTTTAATGAAGTTGGATATAAATTAGTATACACTTAATATGAGTGTTAGTTTTTGAGCGCACCTGGCATTCGTAAGGTAGAAATGCAATATTAATCTCCTTTAGAGTTTTGATCTTTCTTGCAGCGCACGATTTACACAAATCGTTAAACAATTCCTCCGGGCAAACTATAATTATATATACATTAAAATTTTTGATTTGTATACTTATGTACTTTATATATACATATATATATATATATATATATGTATACATATATACATAAAAAGTAATATGTATATTGTATGCTATATATGTCTAATTCTATGTATATGTACCTAAAAAATACGTAATAAAGAATATATAGTGTATATGTTCATGTATGTATGTGTATAAATTTATTTGAATTCGCCAGTAAAACTGCAATTCAATCTGATTTTCCGTTTTCAGATAATAAAACGGTTATAATTTCTTTTGACTCTGAAAAAATACTCAGTGGTAAGAAAATTCCAAGACGAAATAATGAAATAATAAAAGGATTCTCACTTGGCAACTAAAAAAACAAAACTATAAAGTGTTTATAGTTATATATGATCAAATTGAGGATGGAGCTATGTATTTTTTATAATCGGCCTACATAATTTTCCCCATTATTTTTCAATGGTATAAGTTGTTGAGTGACTTAACACACATAAAAGGTAGATTTAAAAAGCGTAATATAGATTTGTTGTTATATATTAGTAGAACGGCATAGGAGTTTTAATTTGACTAGAAAAGCGCTGGACGCTTTCAATACCTGGGATTCAGAGGCTAGAAATGCAATATTGATTTCTTTGCAGGTACGGACATAACGACGACAAATACCTTTGTGTGCTTTCAGCATATCGAGTGCTCTGGTAGGAATGGCTATTCAGTAATGTGGTTAGATTTCATGAAAATAATAAAAATCAAAACAATTATAAAAAAAAAATGGATCCCAAATACACAAGAACAATAATAACTGGCGACTTGAATCATACCCTCGGTGAAGAACACATGCGCAAAGCGGTACATGGGGCGCGCAGGATTCTCAAAATCCCGTATCAATGCACGAACAGAATCATCCGATGGGGTAATTAAATATATCGCATCCATGGTGGGTAATGGCTCACGTTTCTTGTTGATGTCCTCTACCACTACGAATAATATATGTAAGTCATTTTTGTAAGTAAGTAAAAAAAAAAACACTTACAAGTAATACCCTCAGCACTAATCTCATGCATCTTGGTGCAGGCGGAAACCATTCGCATGCCCAGCTTATCCACCACCAACACCCGCCATTCCATGCCACCAGCTCCATTTTTGACAGCCAATGGAGCACCATGTTTCTTCGGTGGTGGCGGTTTGTACTTGACCACCTCGTTCATGATTTCTAAGGTTTCATGCAAAATAAAGAAATACATTTCATTTTATAGCATAATAATAATAATAGTTTGAGTATATGACCTAATAGACTACTAGCTAGTCGGGGACTGTCCACATTATTTGGTATACCTTATATATACTTATCTGTTTGAGATGCAAAGCTTTTTAGGCACCTATTAGTTTCCAAATTAAATAAGAGAATTGGTTTGATTCTTTATAACATTTATTTGATTTTTGTGGCTGAGCTGAAGCCGATTGCTTGCTAGGTCCAGATAGAGGTACGTAACCGATGCGAAGAGGGGTTAGCATGGAACTAAAAGACGACGGCGGCAGAGAGCCCCTTTAGCGGGAGAGCGCAGCAGCTCTGCAGAACGTAAACGGTTGCAAACCATATGCGGCTCACTCTGTTCATACAATAACAATATCTATTAAAATTTACGGTATTGGAGTATACCATCATCCCAATCCAAATTTTCTCTTCAAAGCTTCTGAAGGAAGATTTTGCACCTGACAATGACTGTATTTATCAATCCAAGAGGGTCGTAGAACCGCGCAATCGTAGATAAAACCGACCGCTTTGATGGCTTTGAGTTTGTGTCCAGTGCGGACAAGGCAAAAAGCAGCTGATCCGAAGCAGGGTCCCACGCTAAGCCGAGAGTTTTGGCTATGTCGCTTCCATCATTAAACTTTAGGAACTTCTCTATGTCATCTTCAGGGGTTCCCTCAAGTACTTCCTGGTGACTGGAGCACCATTTCCTAAGTCTAAAATTACCACGGGACAGTAAAGCTGATGTTTGGTGCATCTTGTCCATGACCTGTGCGACCGAATTACCGCCCGAAATAAAGTCATCCCGTAAAACTCCTGCCGCAGAGCAGCTGAGCCAAGAGGGTAGGACTCACCCTCGTCGATGGCCAGCTGGTGCATTGCGCGGACCGCTAAAAATGATGCAGCCCTCGTCCCGTATGTGACGGTGTCTAATGTGTAGACTTGAACCTCGGACTCGATGGAATCTCGCCATAGGATGCACTGATACAAATTGTCGGGTGGAGACACTCGTACGCAGCGGAACATTTTACAAATATCCCCAGTGAGAGCGACTGGATATGTTCGAAAGCGAATCAATATGTTAAACAATGCAGGCTGAATAACACGGCCTGTCATCATCACATCATTTAGAGAATATCCAGTTGATGAAGCTGCGGATCCATCGAAAACGACACGGAGTTTTGTCGTCGTACTGTCCTCCTTTAGGACACAGTGATGAGGCAAGAAATATTTTCAGAGGCTACGGGAATCAGGGTTGACTTGGTATATATGATGCAAATCAATGTACTCCCTCATAAAGGCGGAATACCGCTCCTTGAGTGTAGGATTACGCTCCAGTTTTCGCTCCAGACTGATGAACCGTCGATAAGCCTGAGCATAAGATTCTCCTAAACGATCAGTATTGTTATTTAGTGGCAGACGAACTGCATACTCCCCGGATGGCAACCGTGATAGGTGGCTTACGAAATGTGCTTCACAATCGTCTTCTTCTCTGGTATTCAACCCAACGTCCACACAATTCTCGACTTCCCAAAACATACGAAGAGTTTTATCCAACCTTGCAGCTATCGAATCTGGAAAATTGTGTGTGGCCAAAAGCGCCGAGCTTGATACCTTCTGTCCACCGCCAGATACGATCCACCCAAGCCGGGTCTTCTGCAGAAGAGGCAGGCCATCGGTGAGTTTGATTTGCCCTACGCAGAGGAGATCAAAAATGCAGGATCAGCGAGCTGAATGTTAGATGGAATACTCCAATCGGATACATTTACTGTCATACTTGGTTGAGAATCGGTAATCGTGGGGGCGATGAGAGCAGTAAGCGTAGTTGTGTAAGCAGAGGTGCGAGAATGCATAAAAATGCTTATGGTGGATCCCTCAGTAGAAACGCTGGTATCGCCCAGCCCAGACACAAGTGCAGACGATTGAGTTCTCCCAAGCTGAAGCTGCTGAGCGAACCTGGATGTCACGAGATGCAGCTGCGATCCTGAATCTAAGGAACTAAAACGCCAGACCGATTCTTCACGAGAACCACGGCTGTAGCCAGAAGCACGACATCAGAGTGAAGACCTTGGGCAGCAAGAGAGGTAGACGAAGGTAGAGACGAGTTGCTAGCAGAATTTCGAGCAACGGAAAGAGTGTCCGGTTGAACGGCCAGATCGGGAGGAGTAATACCTGGGCAGCTTTGTGTTGTGGGCTGTATACTATCGATGTGCAACAAACTATGATGCCTACCGCCGCATACTCGACATTTTCCACTATTGCATGCGCGGGTCCGGTGTCCCGGTTTTAGGCAATTGAAGCATAGGGAAAGCTTCTTCACTTCTTTGTGGCGCAGCAACGGTGAGAGATTTCCGAATATCTTGCACGAGTATATTCCATGGCCCGCTGAGTGGCAAAAGACGCATACAGACGGGTCGGCGGAAGAGTTGGAAGCTACAAACGTTTTCTTAACCTGCGTATAGGAATGGTTTTTTCCCACCTGATCGCTACTAGCGTGTGTCGCTGTAGCATATTCCAATCGCTCCATTTTCTGGCAGCGTTGCTGCAAGAATTCGAAGAATTCCTCTGCGGTACGTATAGCATCCGACGATGTGTGCTCCTCCCATTTGGTTTGCGTCTTCGAATCCAATTTCTGCAGCAGCATGTTGATGACCATGAATCCTGAAATCTCCTCAGCAGTTCCCAATGTCTGCAACGCTCGCATGTGTAAATTGACTGCATCCGAAAACTCCCGAAGCCTTTTAGCAGAAGGCGAGTCTACCCTCTTTATCCCAAGAATCTTCTTGATGTGTGCCTGGAAAACAAGTCTTTTGTTATTAGAGGTTTTATTGAGTATATCCAGAGCCGCACGATAATTGGCACTGGAGAGCTCCAACGATCGAACCGGATCCAAAGCCGCATCGGCGAGGCAAGAGCGAAGGGGCTGGAATTTCTCGATGTCACTGAATTGAAAATTGCCATAAAATCCGAAAACTCGGTTCAGAAAACTAAGGCACCTTCAGCTCAGGAAGTCGCTGCTTGTGAGCCATGATGATGGTAATATGTCCGGAATGGCTTGGCAGAGTCGTAGAATGGGCAGCGGCGTGTGATCCCCGCGAAGGATTCGCCAAGCCTGTGCAATCGATCATATAATGACTGACTTTTACGCTTATACAGACTCAGTCTGGAATCAGCCACCACAATATTTCCACCCGCGCCTGTATTCGGATCGTTGTCCATGTTAACCGTTGTGCAATTCGACACAACAACGGAAAATGAAATACCGCTTAAGCGACGATGTATAGACGCGAGAGCGAGAATGCAAGACACGAAAAGTCAAGAACCGCGGCTGCAGCTGCGCAGAGAATGAGAGTTTCGACGCTTAAAGTACCGGAATTTGTATATAAATATTCCAGCAGCACTCTCACTGAACTTGCACTTTAAACTGTTTTTTAACCACAATATATTTGTTGGTAGTTAAACTACCCAACAACAAAATATTACGCAATTAATAAGTTTTTTAAACGGAACGAGATTAAGTGATGTTTTTATATCACGTCGGGGGGTCACCATTGTTTGAGATGCCTAGCTTCTTTGGCACATATTTGTTTCCACAATAAAAAAGCGACTTGGTTAATCTTTATAACATTTACCTAAATATTATGGCTGAGCTGAAGCCGATTGCTTGCTAGGGCCAGATAGGTAAGAGGTTGATATGCAACCGATGCGCAGAGGGGTTAGTATGGAACTAAAAGACGACGGCGGCAGTTCAAAAGTGATTGCCGAAGTGGCGGCGGCACAGCAAGGTAATTGCCGAAGTGGCGGCGTCAGAAAGCCCTTTTAGCGGGAGAGCGCAGCAGCTCTGCAGAACGTCAACGCTTGCAAACCATAGGCGGCTCACTCTGCACATACAATAACAATATCTATAAACATTTACGGTTATTCTTCGGCGGCTGGCCCGAACACTGTCAATAGCATTGAACTCCACCGGCCGAAATGCGCTCCGCTCCCCTTGTAAATTTCTTAATTGCTGGCCATTAAGAATTTTCGATGTTTCGGATTATATATATATATATATATATATATTTTTTTTTTAATTAAAAAAAAAATTGTTTGCTTACTTCAAATGAATACACAGTCAAGTTATACCAAAAAGATATTAAGATTAATTATTGTCACTGTGCAACCCCATTGAAGATGCAAAAGTACAATTTTTAAAATTTTTAACAAGCATACAATTTTTTTTCCAATTTCTTGGTTCTAAATTTACTTTAAATAGCGACGGCTACCAAAATATTTTTGTTTAACGGTTTTCCCGTTTTTTTTTTTGTAGTCTATGTTTTGGTATATGGTATAAAACCATATGCAAAATAAAACTCGCCTTGAAAAATAGAATCAATTAACGATTTGTGGTGAAAGTGGATGTGTGTAACGTCCAGAAGCAAGCGTTTCCGACCTCATAATGTATAAAGTATCAATAGAATACAGCATCGTTAGCCGAGTCGATTAAGTCCTGTCTGTCTGTCCGTCCCTATGAGCGCCTAGTGCTCAAAGACTATAAATCAAAACTTCGCCCCGTCCACTTCCGCCCCACACAAGAGACGAAAATCTGTGGCATTTACAATTTTAAAGATACAAAAAAACAAAAATGGCAGAATCGTAGAAAATTACCATATCTTCTAGACTGCAGAATCTGAATTGGATCGTATAATTATTATAGCTAGAATCAAGAAAACAATTTCATTCTCTCTCGCTAACACACAGGTCTAGAGCAATCAAAATTTCCACACGCCCTTCCGCCCCCACAAAGGACGAAAATCTGAGGGTATCCACAAATCTCAGAGACTATTAAGGCTAAAGTAATCAAATTTGGTATCCACACTACTGTTTGATCTCACTATAAAACGTATAACTCAAAATCATCTCAAAACCCCACCAATTTCCGTCCACAATATTGCAGATGCGAGAAAAATAAAACGCAC